AGAGAGAGGGAGAGAGGAGAAGATGGAGAGAGAATAAAAAAAGAAAGAAGAAGAAGAAAAAAAAAAAAGCGAAAATTTTTACTTATTTTACAGTCATCATTTAGTTTATATTTTATAATATTCTCAAATAAAAAATTTTTTTTTTAAAAAAAAAAATGTATAAAATTTTATTAAAATTTAAATGAAATGATTCAAATATTTTTACTTAAAAAATTTAATAATAACAAAAGGATAATATTATCAGAATAATTTTTTCTTAATTAAATTATAATAAATCCTATATTAATCATATTTATTTGATTTAAAATTTAATCAAATAAAACTTTAATTTGATTTACAATCTTGCAATACATTACCATATTTAAGTATTCAATTATTTGATAAATAATCTATAATTGATAGCAATAGCTTATTTTATCATTTTTCAAACATATATCATATCCAAATGTTTTAGCATTAAATTTTAAATATTATCAAAAATAGCTAATAAATTATAAAATTTTCTAAAAATTTAAAATATTAAAGTATTGATTTAACAATAAAAAAAGAAATTTCAATAATAATAAGAAAGCAGCTGAAGTTTTTTTTTTTTAAATTTTGATATGAAAGAAACGATTGAATTTGTGTGAAAATGTTGTATTGTTGAAGAAATATATTCATCATCATCATCATCATCAACAACAACAAAACGTTGATCGCATCCAGAAGGCAGTAGTGCATAAAAGTACCGTATACCATTGGCTCATAAAATACCAATATGCTCGAAATTGAAGGCAATGCCGACCGGACGCAGAAATGTTATATGAACAGAAGATGACAAAATTGTCAGCGAGAGAGTTTAGATCAGTGCTATAACAATCGAACAAATATCACTATATGATAAATAAAATTGCTTAGCAACTGATGCTAAAATACATTTGATTAGATTATTTTAATCAAAATATTAAAATAATTAGATGAAAAACAAGTGATATTATAGCTTAATTACAGTATTTCGATAATTATCTTATGAGAATTTCGTTGAAATAATCAATAATAATGGGGTAGATTTAAAAAATTTCCCGATAGTTCTGTCACAAAAAAAAAAAAAAGAACATCAATTAATAATGCTATAGTTTATTTATTGATTGTAAAATATGAATGAAACTTTGAAATTATTTGTGTAGAATTATTCATTGGTATTGTTTGTGTTTTATTTAAATTTGAACAAAGAAATGTAAAATTTTATTAAATTGTACCTAATTATAACGTTAGAAATGTACTGAATGAATCAGTCATTATTGGACAAGCATTTAACGCTTCAATTACAAATGTTAAATTTATGAAAATTTTTATTGAACTAGTAAAATTGCTCTTCAATTACAAATGTTAAATTTATAAAAATTTTTATTGGACTAGTAGAATTGTTCTTCCATTATAAATGTCAAATTTATGAAAATTTTTATTGAACTAGTAAAATTGCTCTTCAATTACAAATGTCAAATTTGCGAAAATTTATTGAACGAGTAAAATTGTTTGCTAGAATCATAAATTTCAGAAGTCTTTAATGGTTTGTTTTTTTTTAATTTACAAAATAAAATAAAAAATGGGATGCTAAAATATGTGGTAAAACGATAAATTTACGTGCGCTTAATTTCTTCTCAAAAATAATCATTTCAATTTATCCATTTAAATTTATCAAATCAAAGTTGTCAAGTTAAACTTATCCAATCAAATTTTGATAATAACAAAATAAAGTTTTGCAGCAATTTAAGCCATATCACGTCATTTGCTTGTGACATTAATCATTTATGATCGATCTGATATATTGATTATTGTCAAAAATGATGGAAATCATTAAATTTTGGGAATTGATTTGTTACTTTTTAAGATATAAATGCACAGATGGTGGAAATAAAAATTGAAAAATTGACTGGAAGGATTGATTGTTAAGCAAACAACAACAGCAACAACAACAATAACAACAACAACGGTTGCAGTTACGATGCTAATAAAATGCAGCTTTGTTAAATTAAATTCAGCATGGCGATCAGAGCCCTTCAATACAGCAGCATTAATCTTGGAAGAAAACAAAATGAGGGATTATTAAAAAGAAAACGAAAAAAAAAATCCTAACTAATAAATAAAAAGAAATAGTTTAAATATAAAATGAAAGTATATATATTAGCATTTTGAATTTAAATTAACTGAAATGGTTTACATTCGAAACTTTTTC